TCACTTAAAAGCCTACGATTTCTATGAAGTCAGATCCTGCAGGAGTTTTAGCAGCTTTTACTGATTTGGCATCCTCCATCATGAGTGAACTGCCGTGCAGTTGAGGATCTTTTCAGCAAACCCTAAAGGTGGGATTTTATCACAGCAATCCTGACTCCAAAGTAACAAGACGGGCAGTTCAAGAAGCAGGCTTTAGCTTCCATTAATAAAGGTTAGCTGTTACATTAGGCAGACCAGTATACTCTGAGGACTAACTAGTATCTTATTAAGTTATAAATACATTTAATGGCTTTAGTACTGGCTTCTTATTTTGGAATATGAGAAAAATCAGAACTCACAATCACTAGAGTCTAAAAAGCCACTGTTTTTTATAAAATATACTTACCTATAATACTGCTTATAAATTACTGTTTCTATAGAGCCCACACACTCCCTCAAAGGACAGCTGTGGTTTTCCTGTAATTGCATCAAGCTATTTGCAGTGGTACAAGAAAGTGGCAGAAGATTATAAAATAAAAAACATGTTTTTCTTTTGTTAATCCTCACCCAAGGATATTTTTTCCAATGATTTTTTTTTTTTTTTTTAGAGAGAGTGGAAGGGAGGAAGAGAGGGAGACCGAGAGGAGACAAAGAGAAACATCGATGTGAGAGAGACACATCGATTGGTTGTCTCCTGCATGGGCCCTGGCCGGGGCTGAGGATCAAGCCTGTGACCCAGATACGTGTCCTTGACCAGGAATTGAACCCTCAACCCTTTGGTGCACAGGATGATGCTCTCACCACTGAGCAACACCAGCCAGGGTCAAATTGTTTGGTTTTGATCCAACTAGTCAAACCAGTTCAGAAAAAGATGATGAAATTTCTCTCCCCACCTTCACTCCACTTCTGGTTTCTCATTAAGGGGAAAAAAATACCACTCTTGCCCATCGTCATTTATTGAACTCTAAACACAGACCACTGTCCAAGTTTTCTTAAAAAGAACAAGATGAAGTTCAAAGGGCACAGAGTTCTCTTTCGCTTTCTGTAGAGAAAGAACATACTTAAGATCACTTGCCAAATAATGAATGACTTACATCAAGTTCCAGCTTACCTCATCTCCTGCTGCCGACGTGCTCACTGCTCCACTGACTGCGGGACACTCCGAGAGCTGTGCGCCCTCCGCGATGCCCCGGCCTGGAGGCGGGCTCAGGGATGCTCCGGTGTGCGAGGGGAAGCTGTCCGAGGCGACTGTGAGGAAATCTAAGTAAACTGCACAGGTGTCACATGCTCACTTCCTGCCCTTCCGTTCCCAAAGACAAATGAACCAACCACGTCATCTTTTCCTTCCTCCTGATAAGGACACGGGGCTTCTCATCTCCACACCCCAGAGGCTCCTCGCCTGCGGGAGCCGTGTGAAACCTGCTTTCTAGGGGGGCTGGACTGCTGGTAGCCACAGGCCTCAGCAGGGTCCCCAGGAGGGGTGAAAGTAGGGGTCAGAGGGGTCACATGCCAGAGACTGAGCTGTTTGCCCTTGGTCAGGATGGACAGGCCCTACCTCGGGGGAAAAGGGCTAGAAACGGTTCTTCTGGACTTCTTCACCAGCAGAGGATGGCCAAGCCACTGCAGCTTCAAAACCAGCAATGGGGAGGGGAGCCTCACAACAAACAGTGGGACAGAAGGTGTGTGGGAAGATGGTAAGTTTGGTCTAAAACAAGCAGTTCTCGGGTAATGAGCTGTTGTGTGGAAACATGTGGGGCTCGCAGTGCCTGTAGCACTTTTAAAGGGCGCTGCTGCTGGTCCTTCAGGGTTTCCTTTTTTAGGGGGGTGGCTGGGGAAGGGCAGAGTGAGGCGAGGCACAGCCCCTTAAAGAGCAGGAGGATTTCGGAGCAGAGGAAAAGCCACCTCCACGTGTTGCAGCCACGAAGCCCGGCATTCGCACCCCAGCTCTGCTCTGGCCACTGTCCTGCCTGTGGGAACACCCTGCCTTCTCTGAATCCCAGCAGCTGCACATGTGAAATGAATAGACCTGGGGCATCAGCCAGGGTCCTGGCATGAAGCATTTGGCATACTCAGCTGGGATGAGCTAGTAGTCATAAGGGGACTACTTACAAAGGGTGTGGGCGGGGCTAAGGGACTCCTGCGAGGGCAGAGAAGCCCCTAAGGCCTGGCAAACAGGGAGTCTGGACCAATCCTTGGCTTGAAATGATAGAGGCAGGGTGTGGTTACCAAACCTTGAAGTTGCCCAACAGGAGCTGTGGCCTTTGGCAGAGGAGCCCGGCCACCATCAACCCACACCTGGCAGGAAGAAGCCAGGGGAGTGACTTCCCCAACCTCTCCGCTTAAATGCCAAGCTCCTTCCAGCACATCTGGTAGATCCTGACCAGAGAGGCTGGACTCCAGAACGAAGCACAGGGTAGGGAGGGGACCTAAAGGAGCAGAGAACACCCAGCACACCTAACACATGATGGGGCTGGCGGGGTTTTAAGGAGAGCATCATCATAAGTGCCTGGCATCGCAAACAGTGACTCACTACCTATTCGATCCGACTGCCTATTTGGCATTTATTCTCGAAAGGCCACAATATAACTTTTATTCTCAGGTGGCAAAAGCCAGAATGAAAACAAAGACATGTTTCACCCAGAGTGAAAAAACGTTTACAAAATTGACAGATAACATTTATTAAAACATGTCATACAAAAGGGCATGGTCTCTTCTATAAGAAGAAAATATTAAACAGTAACATTCAGTTAAGTAAAACCATGCTGTACACTGCAGACAGCAATATATGTAGACAAAACTATTCAACTTTTGCAACACAGGCATAACAGTTCACAAAATATCAATAAGATGTGCACCTAGTGATAATCTGTTTATCATCAAATGGTTTCATGGCCTAAGAGTCACCTGACTTGCATAAATAAAGTAATTTTCTGGAACCTCATAAAAGGAAAGAAGGCAGCAGCAACTGACATTGTGACACAGGCTTCAAGCAAAACTAAAAAAAAAAAAAAAAAAAAGTCACATTTGCAAAATGTGTTCCAGCATCGTCCCATAGAATACTATCAGTAGAGATCTAAAATAAGAAACATGTACCTTTAAATATATAAGTAGCAAAGAAAAAACTCAATCAAACAAACCCTGATTTCACTGAATAAAGTTAGTCACCCATGAAAGCAACCTAAACACAAAATTAACTGTGGCATAGATGGGGCGGGGGCTGAGGGAGGGTCCTATGTTGTTTGGTGTCCAGCACTCCTAAGTGATCAGAGACCTTTTCAAAGCAAACACCTGGGTTGGGAGTGACGGAGTCCTCGCCACCCTTGGTGACCAGGGACAGCAGCAAACCCCCCACCCCAGGGAAGTGCAGTTCTGCCCGTGGGCTCTAACTTCCCTTGGGGCAGGCAGCTGGGCCTTTCCCTAGGAAGGAGCCGCTGAGGCTCAGCAGCTTTCCCAAGCAGCTGGAAGTCAGCGCAGGGCCAGTTTAGTTCAGAAAAGCCCCCGAGAAAGGAGGAAACCCTCTGGGAAGACTCCCTGAAAGCTGTGGCCAGGAGAGGAGACCGGAGGAGGGTGAGATCTGCATCAGAATCAACAGGCTGGGCCCAGGACGAAAGGCTGCCGCAGTCCTTCCGTAGACAGTGACGCCTACTTACCAAGTGGATTACTGTAATGTGTACATCTAAAATTAAAGGCATAGTATCAGTACTCACATTAAATACCACTGGTGGCGCCTTGAAGCCCTTTCCTACTGGGAGTAGATCAAACCACAGTTAAGACTCTATAAAATAGAGGACAAATACCTTGGTTGTAGGCCACTGATATGATCCCTGAAAGACTGGAAAATGTTACCCACAGCCACCCAAACTTTGGAAGGATAAAGATTTTCTAAAGCTGTACAGAGGCTAAGGAGACAGACTATCCAACCCAGGGTAGGCAGGAAAAACAGGTAGTAATACAGCATGAACTCCTACCCCCAGAAGCCGAGTTTATAGAATTGTCCAAACTAAAGCAATCCCCTTCCCCACCTCTCTGAACTTGCCAACATTTCAGATGCCCAACTGTCTCCCAGGGTCTGGCTGGCCTGATGAACAACCCTAATTTTTATGGAAACCTCAACGATCATAAAAAACTTAAAACAATAGAGGTGAGGAACTTGGACTTTAAATTCTACATTTAGTAGCTGATGTGCATATAAGGATTTCAACAAAAAATACAGCTTCACAACTCATGACCTAAGTCCCAGCACAACTGACTGCTTCCAAATGACACCAGAGGGCTGCCCTCCTGCTCCCAGCCCAGTGCTGGCTGGCCTCGGCATGGCTGAAGGAACGTGGTTTCCCCCCAGTATTTAACTTTCCCTCTGGGACTCTTCTCCCCAGTGTCCCAATGCTCGTGTGAGTATAATCTTTAATGGGAAACAGGATGTCACACCTTCCAAACAGGCAGACAGTGGTTTGCTGATACCACGGAAGAGGGTCATCAGCTGTTGGCAGAACAAAAAGGCTTCTCTGCCTTAGTGCTGACAGATGAAGGGGGGGAAGCAGTTTCTCCTCACACATAGTGGCTAGGATCAGACCTAACCCCACTGGCCTCTAACGAGAGAAAGGACAGGAGCCGCTGAGCTTGGTTGTCCAGTCACTCTGTCAGGTCCACAGAGAAAGGACTGGTAATGGTGACGTTTCAACATGAAGAGAATATTAATGTGGCAAACAACCAAGAGGTAATAGCTAGTTTCTAGGTTAAAAAATCAATATATATATATATTTATATATATATGTATTATAATAAAGTTTTAAATACAAAGTGCTTTTTATATATCGAGAATGATACAGTGTTAATGAGTAGATCCCTGTTTTGTAATCTTGATTACAAGAGTTAACTGGTGAGAACTTTCTTTCCTCTTTCTAGACAACGTTCAACAAGTAAACACCTGGTGGTAGAAGCTTAAGGATCAGAGGCCATTGCCAGCGATGTCTGTCACATCAGAACAAAACCAAACTTTTAAAACAAAATTTCATCCCAAATCCAAGAAAAGTTATTTTTATTTTCAGGAAAAAAAGGTTTCCACTTGGAAGGAATAGACCAGTAAGTTTATGGAAAAGTTGACATAGAGTAGCACCCTGTCCTACCCTGGTGATAATTTCAGGTCTATTACAGAGCTTAAAAGCATCCTGAACATAGGCTTGCTTTTCACCCTGAAACATCTGACTGATTGGAGAAAAGGTCTCAGAATAGCTGCTCATCTTGTTGCTTTTGATAGGTATAGCTAGCTGTGTGGACTTGTAAATTTATGCGGCTTTGTCTATAATTTGGGAGCATGAATCTGTAGACTACTTTCTAAAATTAGGATCCTTCTTTCCCCTCTTTTAAAACACATCCCAGCACTCCCAAAAGACCTGGCAGCCTTAGCTCAGTGTGACCCTCTCAGGGAATAAATCTCCCCTATCGATGTAGTTCCAAGACTCCTCTCTTCTTGTGTAGTTTCTCTCCCTGCACTGTGACCTGCCACTCACAATCTGCTATTCGGCAACTCTCACTCTGACAGCTGGGGGCAGTGTCATTGCAGCACTCTATTTACTCATGAAGCTCACAGGTCATTCTCAGCTGTGACTTTTGGCTCCTTCCCACTAACTGGTCACGGTCTGACCTCTTTGGGAAGAACCATGTAAGATAGGGCAGAAGGCTACAGCAGCCAGTGGTGTACTGCCGTGGTCAGTCACAGCAGGCTAGCCGTCTGCTAGCCGTAGAGCAGATCCCACTGTGTGGATGCTACAGTTAAAACATAACGGATTTGGGACAGCAAGCCAATTAGAAATATCTATCTCTGACACACGAGAGAATTATAATTAGATACAATTGTTCAAACTAAATGCTAGTACTAAATACAAAATTCTGCCTTATCAAGAGTCTGAAACACACTGTGACAGTGGTGTCTTACAGAAATCGAAGCTTGTACCATAAGCTGTTTTACACTTCAACTGTCACCCTCTTACTATCTCCTTAGTTTTAGTTAAAATACCCTTTTAGAAAGAAAACCAGATGAAAGCTCTGTTAATCAATTTCGCATCCTAAGAATCACATTGTTTGTAGCTTTTACATAAGTAGCATTTCATTCAGTAAAGCAGCTACCAAAACAAATCCACATTACCTAAGTATCTATAGCCAAGAGCAAAATAAGCTTCCATGACCTTGTAACAAATGATCAAAAACGGCTACCACCTGAAAGGGAACTGGTGGGCTAGCATCCAGTTCCAAGTGCAGGTATCTCCATCACCAAGTCCACCTGCCCCAATCACAACAAGCCTAAAGGTGTACCTGGCCAGCTGGAAGGGGGGCTCATTTACCCCCATTACCTACTCCAGACCTGGACTAGAACATACAAATCTGAGGAACTGGATTTTTTTAATTGGCCTACTTAGAACTGGTCTTTCAGAAATATCTTCCATTTTTTTAAGCTTCTCTCATAATAGCAAGTAGCACACATCATCTGTGCCCAGATTTGCATAATTACCATCTTTTATTTTGGTGCCTGCCACTCAAGGGCCAGATACTATTTTTAGTTAGCCTCAGTCGTATTCTGCTCAGCCTTTGCAGCTTCGTAAGACTTGGTACAAGAAGTCACGTGCCTGTGGAAACTGTCCCTCCACATAAATCTCTTTGCACAGATATTACACTCATACGGCTTTATGCCTGTGTGAATTTTCATGTGGCCCACGAGGTGATGCTTCATTTTGAATTTCTTACCACAGACACCACAGCCATAAGGCCGAAGACCGAGATGCATGCTCATGTGGCGGTCTCTCTGGCTCTTGTGAGTGAAACTCTTCCCACACTGACAAGGATACAGCTTGTCAGCGGCCGAGAACCCCAAGTGGGAAGCTTCTTCTTTAATCCCTGCTACCATTTCAATATTCTCACTGTAGCCTGCTGGTAGGGCAGCGTCCTGTCTGTGCCCAATTAGATTGCCCTCTGACCTCTCTCCAGAAAACTCTTCCATGGAAGAGCCATAGAAATCCACCTGCTCATCGTAATTGCTTTCATCAGCCTGCTCGTCAAATTCTGCTTCCACTTTTTTCTCCACGATGTGAAAGTCTTCCTCTACTCCCGAAGGCTGGACCGAGTGCTCCGCCTGCATGTTGTTGATGGACTCCGTGACCTGGTGCTCATCGTAGGGCGCGTGCACGTCCATGCCCTCGCACGCCTGCTCAAAGCGCTCCGGCTTCACGTGGATCCAGCGCTTGTGAGCCATTATGCTGGGCTTGCTGTACAGAGGCCGGGTGTAGTGGAACTCGGCGCTGTCGCTGGCCGCCTCCTCCCCGTCCTGGCTTGCCATTTCCGTGCTCAGCCGGTCGTGCTCTGTGGACGAGTTGCTGGGAAGGTATTCGTGCTCAGTGAGCTGAGATGACAGCTCGTCTTTGGTGCTCTCCTCTTCATTCTCTCCATCCCTCAGTTCCTGGGATTTGGGGAAGTCAGTATGGCTCCCAGAGCCCAGCTCGAAGCTCTCTACCAGGCCATTGTAACTACTGCTGCTTGGAGACTGGTGATCGCTGCTATGATTTAGCTTTTGACAAAGGACGGTAGGGTTTCCCTCTAAAACCTCAGTGCACTTGTCCACCACATGCCACATCTGGAGGAAGCTTGCTGCTGTTAAGTAACTAACAATTTCTGGAGCGGGCATTACTAGACGTCCCGTGTAACTGGACAGGAGAATGTTCTCAAACACTCTTGGGTTCATCACATCAGGCAAAACAATCCTCCTGCTGTTTTTCAGAAGCACCTGGTCACAAAAGTAGGGCGAACTGGCAGCAAGAACAGCTTTGTGTGCCCGGAAAATGTGGCCCTGCACCACAATGGAGACATCACATAACTGTCCTTGCTGGCGCTGCTGGTTCAGTTTCTGCAGAATGGTGCTGGAAAAATCAGGAAATTCTACTCGAAAAGAGTTTGTTCCAGGCTCCATTTCATCACAAATCTTGTTCAGTGCTACAAAAGAAAGAAAAATGAGTGCTAGTGCCATCCCAGAGAGAAACTTATCGATCACTAAGAAAACTGAGACTGGACCCACAGTGCCACCAGAGTTTCGCCTGTGGGCACTGGTGGGTGGAGCATTCATTCCCTGTAGGGAGCAGCTATAGGGTTAAGCCTCCGACTGACCTGTTGGCAAAGCCACAAACAAGTCCCTGGCTTAGGGGGCACAGCCCACTTAACATAATTAGGCTTGACCTTATGACGCTCCAGAGATCTTATCTGAGTAGCTAATGGGCTGAGGGAGATGCACCAAGTGCTGCCAAAACAAGTGAAACTCACAAGAACACTGTAACTGTGGTGACCACTACCTTGTTTACCTCTGGCTATAAAATAAAGGCTCAACTTGCTATCTAGATCTCTCTCTGTGGCCTCAGCCAGGCACAGAAAGATCCACCTAGAGACCCAGCTTATTCTGTCTTTTCTACATCCTTCGCCACACCCCCTCAGGCTCACTGAACCCTTGGCTGTGCTGGCACGGCACAATTCCGCAGAGCAAGGCTAGCAGGTGTGAGTGTGCCAAGAGTAGGAACCACCCACCACTCATCATGGTATTAACTCTTCATTTTGCCTGTGTCTGAAAACCCAACAGATTTATCAGTGGTATTTATCATATCACTCTAATCTATATCTAAGTATTGCTAAATACCAGGTATGAGATAAAAGTATAAGATAAAAGAACCAGACAACCAAAGCAAAGATTGCAAGTCAACAATGAGAGAGAGGGAGAGATGCCAAGAGAAGAAATGAATGTTTCTTGAGTATATAATGTCCCTGGTATGTAATTACTATATATGAATACACCCATTTTTCAATTAATCTTTATAATGACTCTGCAAATATAGGGATTGATATTCAAGTTCAGTGATTTCAAGCAACTATGCCAAGCTCCAAATAGAAGTTTTTATTAAGATGGGACTTGAATCTAGGTTTCTATGACTCCAAAGCCTATGCTATTTTCCCTATCACATCATTCTGCTGCTTCGTAGAAGATGCCAAAATACCAAGTAGTCATTAATCATTTTAAAAGGTAAGACAGTGTTTTAAGAATGAAGTATTAGTTGATGGTTTATACCTCTTAACATGTTTCATCATAACTTAAAACAAAAATAGACCAAGAAACAAACTATTTAGATACTTGCAGTTTCAAAAAGGAAAGAAAACTATGTAAAAGTATAGATTAGAAGTATGTAAACAGATTCTCTGTTGACCTCATCACTGTAGAATTTTGTTTTTAGCTAACTGGAAAAAAACATGGGGAGAGGGACTAATACACACGAGTGGGATTAGTTCCCTTATAAAAGAGACACCCGGAATTCCCTGTAAGGACAGGACAGGGAATTCTACCGATGAACCAGGGAGTGACACTGAATTTTCTGCCCCCTTGACCTTGGACTTCCCAGCCTCCAGAACTTTGAGGAATAAATTTCTATTTATTTTGTTACAGTAGCCCAAATGGACTAAGACACCACATCAGCACAAAAAGAGCTAACTCATTTTGTTCAAATGGATATTAGTTTCCTGCTATATGGATTTATCATAACTTAAGCAGTTCTCTTCTTACAGAATTTTAATTGTCCAGTTTGAAATGATAAGCAATGCTATAATGGACATCTGTGCATAACTATCTTGGCATATCTTTGAAATATCCATAGATTAATCTCTACCAGTGGAATTGCGGGGCCAAAGAAAGGGCTGTGCATTTGACATTCTGATATGTATTACCAAACTACTTTCCAGAAAGGTTGCACCATGCCACACTCCTACCCAGAGTAATGACAGTACCTACTCCCCCACACTCTACCAACACTGGATGTTATCAAATAAGATCTTAAAATTTAGCAAATCACCAAAGTGACTAATCTATGATTCACTGTTGTTTTGACCAACATTTATTTAATTATTATATAAGATACTCTTTACTCATGTTTACTGGTCATTTGTTTTTCCTATAAATTATCAGTCATATCCTTTGCTCAAATAAATTGGGCAATTCATCTTACTGATTTGTAGTTTTTTTGTAAATTCATGAAATTAACTTTGAAATGTATGTAAATTACCCAATCGTTACTTTTATGGCCCCAGGGCTTTGTCTTAGACATGGAAAAGCATTCCTAACTCCAAGGTTATTTTTAAAAAGTAAACAAAAATTATTTAGGCTTTTTCTTGGTACATTTTTTAAAAAGCATGTTAAACCTTTAATATATAAAGTTTATTTTGGCATAAAGAGAAATACTGGGATCCAGCCCTTTCCCCTCCAAAATGGCTAGCCTACTTTTCCAACATTATCATTGACTATCCACCTTTTCTTCAAGATTCAAGTATGTGTTGTAGAATTTTAAATGACTGACAATAGACTTTTTTTTTAAAGTATATTTTATTGATTTTTACAGAGAGGAAGGGAGAGGGATAGAAACATTGATGAGAGAAACATCGGTCAGCTGCCTCCTGCACATCCCTTATTGGGGATCAAGCCCGCAACCAAGGTACATTCCCTTGACCAGAACCGAACCTGGAACCCCTCTTCAGTCTGAGGACGATGCTCTATCCACTGAGCCAAACCAGTTAGGGCTGACAATAGACTTTTAAAAACAGTTCTACAAACATAAATGCCATAGCACTGTTATAGAAAACTAGAGGCCCAGTGCACGGATTTGTGCACACTGAAAGGAAATTAATTAGAAGGTGGCCAGTGGGGTGGGACTGGGCGAGATGGGCTGAACACACCCTGGAGCCAACCTCCCGTGGCCCCTCCTTGGCCGGCCATACCTGGGGCGGCACCGGGGCTCGAAGGGCATCTGCAGAGTGAGTGGGGTTCCTCCGGCAGGTGGAGTCCCTTGGCCTGGCCTGCGGGGATCAGGCTGAAACCAGCAGTCCGACATCCCCTGCTGGACAGCTCCTGCATTGAGCGTCTGCCCCCTGGTGATCACTATGCATCATACCTACCGGCATGCCATACCTACCATCTCACCCAGTCGCTTAGCCTTTTATATATAGAGATGGTGGAGTAGAAAGCTCTAGAGGTCAGTTCCTCCATAAAAACAATCAGTAAGCTGTTAAAATTATCAGAATCAACTATTTTGGAACCCTGGAATCCGATCAGACACTCATAGTAACTTATAGCCTCTCCCTTGAAGAAGGGAGAGGCAGTTGAACCTTGCTAAGAAAGCAGTGTGCTCAAACCAGCTACAATCCCTTCCTGAGCCCTGCCATAGCCTGGGGGACACTGGCCCACATTCCTACAGTGCTGGCTGATGCCAGGGTGGACAACAGGGCCATGTCCTCCAAAAATTGGGGGTTTTTGCCCCTGGCCAGTCTGGTAGACCCACACAGCTTTGTTTGGATTCCTCAGGTTGCAGTGGCTTCCCCAGCAGCATCTATCATAAGGTTTAAAAAACAACAACATATGTTCCCCTACATTCCTCTGGGTCAAAGCATTTAAGGAAATCTTTGTCAAGTCACAGTCTGACCACATAGATAAAGCAACAGAAACTTCAGTGACTATATGCAACAAGGAATACTATAGACTTTGAAAAATAATTTGGAAAAAAACACTGTTCAAACAGGTCACTGCAGCCCTCAACGAGTAATAAAGGAAACTGCCTCGGAGGGGAAGAATCTATTTCAAGAGCCACCACATTAGAATACTCAAAATGTTCCAGTTCTTAACCAAAACTAAAAACTACACGAAGAAAAAGGAAAATATGGAGTATTCATAGGGAAACAAGAATCAGAAATTCCAGACATTGCAAGCACTTGTTAAAGATGTTAAATCAATCATCTTGTGTATCAAATTGCTAAAAACAAAACAAAAACCCTATATGACAAAGAACTAAAGGAAATCAGGGAACAATGTCAATGAAGAGTCAGAAATTATAGAAAGGAACCAAATAGAAATTCTGGAGCTAAAAAGAATAATAACTGTGTTACAGGCTGAATTATATCCCTTCTCCATGCATATGCTGAAGCCCTGTAACCTCTGTACCCCAGATGGAGCTGTATTTGGACATAAGGTCTTTAAGAGGCAATTACGTTAAAATGGGCCGTCAGGGTGGGCGTTAATAGAATCTGACTGGCCTGTTGGTAAGAAATGAAATTTGGACACAGTGGCAAAGTGGCCATCTGCAAGCTAAGAAGTGCTCAGGAGAAACCAAATCTTCTAACACCACAGTCTCGGACTTCTGGCCTCTAGAATTGTGTGTGTGTGTGTGTGTGTGTGTGTGTGTGTGTATGTGAATTCTGTTATTTAAGTCACCTAGTCTGTGATGTTTTGTTATGGCAGACCTAGGAAACAAGTATGAGCTGAACTTAAAAATTCGTAAAAGGAATTTAATGGCTGATTTAAGCGGGCAGAAGAAAAAAAATCAGCAAATTCAAAGATAAAGCAAATGATATTAACCAGCCTGAGTAGTAGAAAGAATGAAGAAAAATGAACACAATCTAAGGCACCTGTGGGACACTATTAACTGTACCAACACTAACATGCACATCATGGGACTCTCAGAAGAAGAAAGGGTAGAAAAGATATTTAAAGAAACAACGGTCAAAAACTTCCCAAATTTGATAAAAGACACACCTACACATCTAGAAGCTCAACACACTCCAAGCGGGATAAAATTAAAGAAATCACATGAGATACATCGTAAGTCAAATAGTAGAAAGCCAAAGACAAAGGATAATCTTCAAAGCACAAGAAAGAAGCAACTCATCATGTAAAAGGGCTTTTCAGTAAGATTAACAACTAATTTCTCATCAGAAACCATGGAGGCAGTGGACCACATTTAAAGTGATAGAAGAAGGCAGTGGTATGACATTTAAAGAGCTAGAAGAAAAATCTGTCAACCATGAATTCTATATATGGCAAAACTATTCTTTCAATAATGAAGAAGAGGCAAGCCCCGGACGGGTAGCTCAGTTGATTAAAGCATCATCCCAATATGCTAAGGTTGCAGATTCAA